TCGGATAAAGTTGATGTAATTGTGGTCCGTTATCGAAAGAATTACCCTGAATCGTTGATTTTTATGTTATTTTTTCTTCGATTTTGCTATTGATCACAGCTTTTTCCTGGTTTTTCCCATTCATCACAATCTTTTTTTCTGTTCCTCGAGCTTTATATAGACTAGGATATGGGTGTGGGTGTGAGTGTGGGTATTTCCGTCATTCACACACACTCACACCTAACCACACCCACACCCCACCCACACCCCACCCAAACCCCACCCACACCCCACCCACACACCCACACACCCACACCCCACACCCTTCAGTTCGGTTCACATTCGGGCTCTGATAACTTCGTACTTGAAATGTCGAAAAAATTAATTTCTTAAATATTATGATTCGTTCAATTGTTTCGAAGATAAATGTTCTCAAAATCTGGCAGCACTCAAGAGAGTAAGCGCCATGGTAAAGATCAACCTTCAGAAAATTTCGAATTGATTCACGCTAGAAGGCGAGACACGCTGAACGATGAAACGGATGAAGAAGACCCAATTTCACTTCAGGAAAACAAAGAAGATATATCATTATTATGGTTTGACAAAAATTTAAATTCAAATATCGATGATATTCGGCTAACTAAAGATTTGCTTCGACAAATTAATAATTATGTTTTATTTTTTACGGAACCTGCTGAATGTTTACAATACATTAAAGATGTAAAAGATGAAAAAATTATTTTGATTATTTCCGGATTATTTACAAAAGATGACGATTTTTTAAGACAAATCCATGTATTTCGTCAAATTGATTCCGTGTTTATATTTTGCATTGAAAAAGAAAAATATGAAAATATTTTATGGAATTCTAATTATTCCAAAATAATCGGTATTTTTACTGAACAAGAAACTTTGATGAGAAGTATACGTCAAACAATAAGATTAGTTGAACAACAATCTGCCGTCTTCAACTTATATAATCATACACAAAAATCAATACGCAATTTGACGAACAAATCAGGTTCATTTGTATGGCATCAGCTAATAAAAGATGTTTTACAGAAAATGCCGGCAGATACAACAGCTGGAAAACGTGAAATGCTTGATAAATGTTACACATATTATCGTGGTAATAAAAAAGAATTGCAAAATATTCAAGAATTTGAACGAACTTACACATCTGATGATGCTATTCGATGGTATACAAAAGATTGCTTTATATACCGATTGGTCAACAAAGCCTTAAGAACAGAAGATATTGATGTCTTATATACATTTCGATATTTTATCATTGGTCTTTCTGCATGTCTTGGTAAATATCATCAATTATGGAAACAGTGTCAAAAAATAGAAATATTGAGATTATATCGTGGTATCAAGCAAACAAATGACGAGACAAAACGCTTGAAAGAAAGCATTGGTAGCCTAATATCAACAAACGGATTTTTCTCAACAACCAAAAGTAAATCAGTGGCTAAAATATATGCTGGCATCGGGTATAATGATACTAAATATGAATCGTTGCTATTTGAGATTGATATAGATACACAAACTCATGCAAATTGTATTTTTGCTGATATAAGTTCTTATAGTCATTTTGCTGACGAACAAGAAGTTCTATTTGATCTGGGTACTGTATTCGAAATTGTATCTGTAGATTACAATTCGACTGATAAATATTGGATTTGTAGAATGATGACCACAAGTCGAGGTATGGAAATAGCTGAAGAATATTTAACATTTCGTAAAAGTGAAATGACAGGCACGAATGTTGATTTAGTCATTTTATTTGGACATCTATTGTATGATATGGGAGAATATAACAGATCACAAAAGTATTTCGAAAAGTTATTAACTGATCGAGGCAACGATGCAAATGTATACTTTGGTATTGGTCATGCTCAGTATATCAAATGTGAATATCAAGAAGCAATCAAAAATTATAGACATGCATATAATATGTGCGAATTATCAGACTTCCTACTGATTACAACACTACTAAATTATCTCAGTATTGTTCACAGGTACATTGGACAGTATGATATTGCTTTAAATTACTTATCTGATGCATTAAACATTCTAGACAGAAACGAATCTAGCCGCAAATCTGACATACTTCGTGCCAACATTTTACATAATACGTCACTAGTTTATCGATTTCTAGGAGACAATACAAAACCTGTGGAGTATGCGGATAGTGCGCTTCATATAATAGAAAAATTAGTGCCATGTCCTTATATCGATTTAATCGATGTTCTTACCACCGCAGCTCTTACTTATCGAGAGGTAGGCGATTATGATAAATCATTAAGATATCAAACAAAAGCATTAGAAATAGTTAAGCAAGTTCTTCCTGATAAACACCCATATCTTGGTATAGCACTCAATAATATTGGCAAAGCCTACTATAAGAAATGTGATTACGAAAAAGCAATGCATTATTTTGAACAAACTACGCAAGTTTTTGCCCATGTTTGGCCGGATTATCATCAACGGCGAGCCATTCCTTTGAATCATCTTGGTAAAATTTACTATCGAATAAAAAACTATGATCAAGCCCTAAATTATTATTCACAAGCACTGGATATGTTAGAGAAAACTGTGTCTATAAATCATGCTGACAGTGCTTATACACTAAAAAATATGGGTGAAGTTCATTTAGATTTATTAGATTTCGACAAAGCGTATAATTACTTTTATCGAGCTTTGAATATCTACAAAGAAAAATTTGGTAGTAATACTGACCAGCGTGAGATTGCTAAATGTTACCATTTGATTGGTCAAGTTTATCTGAAACAAAATGATTATGAACATGCATTAGAATATTTTCATGTAACACTGAGTATGTGGCAAAAAACATTGGTGGACAATCATCCAGATTTGGCGTTATGCACGAAGAATATTGCTCATGCATATTTACTAAGATCAGAATATCAAAAAGCATTAGAATACTTTTCCAAGACATTGCATATATATGGAACAAAATTACTACCTGACGACGCCAGAATAATAGACGTTCAAAACTTGATCGCAACTACAGAGGAGCAAATCAGCAAGAACAGCTAAGCCGCATACTTCAATTTTTGAACTAGCAACATGAATAAATAAAAACTCTTAAAATATGCTTCGCTCTACTTTTCGATCAAGCATGAATTTCGTACTTATTTGCTAGCGGATAACGGTTGAGTGAATAATGGGTGTGAGTGTGGGGGTGGGTGGAAGTGCAGTGTGCTGGGCGTGGGTACAGCTGGGTGGAAGTGAGCGTGTGTGGATGAGTGTGGGCCTCGGCGCAAACGATGACCACACCAACACCGCCGAATGTACAGTGTGTTGCATAACCTTTACGCCCCACTCTACAACTTAAACTATAAATG